AAAAAAAATGTCTGCTTGCCACTTTTTGTGGCCCAAACCCCCAGTATTGTAAACAAAAAGGCGTCCAGGCGCTCAAGGAAGTGAGTCAACCCTTAAATGTCTGAGCAAAGTGGAACAACCCACCGAGAAATGTGGGAACCTTATCAAAGGAATCTTCCTCATGACTCATGGGTGACGTCGCAACCCTAGTTGACGTCGCTATCATTACCCAGAAATACCCATTGGCAGAAAAGGGGTGGGGATACCCTGCCCGCGACCCCTGACCCGAAGATGCGCCTTCAGCGCGTGCCGCCTGCCTCTCCGCGTCCGCGATCCGCCGACGGGCGCCGTCCTCACGTGGCCCGGGGGAGGGGGGGAGCGAAAGGGAAAAGGAAACTGCACGGGACAATGGAGCAATCAAGGCCAAGGCTGGCCATCGAGGAGGAATGTGTCGTCTGGAATTGTCCGATTGGTCAAGATAGGCATTAGTTTGATGGGTTTGGGGGACTGTTGCTTCACCAACAGATCGCGCACAAATAGAATCGAACATCTGGGAGAACTGCTTTGGGGAACAGTTCAATCGCTTACAAGGAAGCAACCCAAAAACTAGTTGAAGCACGCTCTTCAACAGGGCTCCTCAAAAGATGAAACCAAAAACTGCCTGCTTTACCAGGAGATCCCCCTACATCAGCTGATCTGTTTTTGGTTGCCCGGTCCCACATGCCTCCCCCGAACGCGACGGCACTTTGCCCAGCGGCCAGCTCCAAGTCGAGTCCCTTGTGCTGATGGGCCGTCCGCGTCTTGGCCGCCTGCGCATCCTCGGTTCCGACAAAAGCGCCAGGGGCTTCTGGCAAACATGGACGGGTTTATCTCACAGCAAATGGGTGGGTCCATTTTGGGGGACTCAACATGGCGATTTGCCTGGTGGCTTCCCTGTAAAACCAGGGCCCCACCGCGAGTACCACCAAAATAGCAAAAAGGTTGGTGCAAGTTGCGAAGGGGTCCAACTGTCTAACCAGTCACGGCAAAACTCAAACCTTCCATTAGCTTAAGCCCACAGGAAAGAATAGACATATTTCCAGCAGTGATAGATTCCCTTTAAAACCCACAGGGGAAAACAAACAAATAAAACATGAAGCACATGGAAGAAACCAACCCCCACCCCCCCCACCCACCCCACCCACCCCGGCCGCCCCGAAGGAAACCGAAACAACGAGCCGCCCCCAGCTCCGCCGCCAGGTCCGCCAGCTGCGCCTCCGCAGCCGCGGCGCGCTCCCGGCGCAGCACCACCTCCGCCTGTCAGAATTTCGGGTCCGGCCCCTGCCATGGGGATGGCACTCGTCCAAATTGGGGGGGGGGAGGGGAGGGGGAGGGGGAGGTTGGGCCCAGCCCCGGTGTTCTTTTTGGCTTTAATGAAACCAGCTAGAAAAAGGGTTCCCTCAAAAAGAAAAGCCTGTATACCTATGTTATTGGTTTCCCCTTTGAGGCGATTTCGATGAAGTGAATGCCCTTAGAAGAGATGTTTAAAGTCGGAACTGCGGGGAGCCCAGACATCGGCACGGACAAGCTGGCCGGTTTTTGATGACCATTGCGCCACCATCAAAGTCATGAACTGGATAGTATGTTACCATGAAAGTCACGCCCTTGGTAGGTTCAGGAAAAAACAGATTCTGACTTTGATCAGAGGGGGGAAAAAAATAGACTCCGCCACGCGCGAGATTGTTCCCCTGAAATCTCTGTGAAGCCTCTGGGCCCGAACCTCCACAGGTCGCTGGGACACCCCAGATGTTTGAACTGTCATGGAGGGCGGGGAAGTGGCCAAAAGCCTCCTGGTCGGTGGGTCCAAACTAGGTGGCAGTAGGTCCAGGAAGCAAAGCAATTTTAGGTCCCAGGCTCGCGCCGCGCCGTTGGAATGGACGCGTCTTAAAGTAGGAAACCCAAAAAGATGTTTGATTTTGCTTCTGGTCGCCCTCGAGGAAAAACGAAAGAGTACCCTGCAAACTTCACAAGGCATGCTAAATTATGCCTTTCCAGGGTGCACGGCACGGCACACACACACACACAGACACACACACGCAAGTCGCTCGCAGCGGCACAAATTAGCTCCTTTGGTCTCTGTGGGCGGCTCCTCTGGCTCTGTCAGCGACTTGAACCCTCTCCAGGATAGGCAAGCGAGCGCGCCCGCGTCTGCCCGAGCAAGTCCAAGGAGCAGCCTGTTCCGTCCAATCGAACCTGAGCCCAGTGCCGCGCCAAATTGCCGCGCCCTTTGCCACATGTCCGCTGAGCTCAGAAGCCTTGCGAAGCCCCGACGCTGCGAAGTCATGAGCCCAGCTGCGTGCCCTCAGCTTGCGTTCAGAGCTGGGTGGAAAAGCTGCGCACCGACAGGCCCCGCCGCACGATGACACCCTCCGCTGCCTCCAGGGTTTGGCAACCAACACAGATACAACATATCCGGCCTTGTCCGTTCCCATTTTGCCCACAAGATGTATCCAAAATCATTTGACTCACAAGGAAATCCTGCAAATCAACAGGGAAATGCAATGGCTAACATGCCGGGCATAGCAACTGTGAAACTATGGCGAGAACAGGGTCGGAACCTCCGAACACCGCAGGCTAGCGCGTCGGCGCCGGTGGCCCGCCACCCGCTTCCCCGCAGTTTCGCCACCGCGCCTTGGGCCTTTCTCCTGGGTTGGTCGAACCCCAACTGCCACAGAGATCCCTGCATTTCCCCTTAAAACATCACCCAACAGCAGGGGACACTCACCCTTTGCGGGCCCAAAAGGTGATGCTTAAAACCACCAAAAAGGGAAGTATAGGGAACCCGCAGGCGGGACACCACTACAGCAGAGGGAAACTACTACCATCCAAGGATTGGATTTGAACAACCCAGACGAGAAGCAAACAAACACACCAACCTCTTTAAGGATGAGGAAGCTGCAACAATAAGGAAGGATTGGTGTTAAGTGTTGGGCAACCCAGAAGAAAACATGAACAACCCCTTTCCAGGCTTTTCGACCAACCGAGTCGCTGAAAACGGCCATATACAAAGGCAGCGCCAGCGCGGTGAGCTGACCCAAACCCAGGGCCAGGTTCACCTGTGCCAACGGATTTCTTCCAGGCTGAACATGAGGGTCCTTTTGATGTGGGTGTTTTACAGGGAAACCTTCCAGAAAACAAGCCGTTTCATGGGGCATGATGGAAAGTGCATTGGGAATCTGTTTCTAAGACACCAGCTCCAAGACACTGACTCCGGAAACTCGATTCCCTATATCTGAGAAATGAACTGGTGTGTAAATCAGAAATCGACATGAGTCCTCCCTTGAGGGGTGGCATTGAACCAGCTTTCTGTTGCCAATTTGAATTGAGTTGCCTAAGGGCAAGATATTCAAAGGGGGCATTGTGCCATCTACTTCGGGTGCAAACCACAACCGGTTGCAGGTCTGAAAGTTACAACAAATCTTTGGAACCTTTTTCAGGCGGTACGCTCCCTCAACAATCATGGCAGTTGGACTCCATCTTGATTCGAAGGGGGCAACACACACACACACACACACACACACACACAGGCGCGCACCATGGCTTTACCCTCCCTTCAATCATGGAAGCTCAGAGGAAGGTTTCGGAAGATGACTGACCCTAAGGAACCCGGGTCCTCTTGCTGGGGTCCATGATCTTTCCAGGGGGGTGTTCATTCCGCTGGTGTCATGCCCACCCCGACAACCGATGAGGGGGCTCCTCCAGAAAGCCATAAGCGGCACCCAGGGAGGCCAGTGGCTGCACCAGGAAGTTGCCTTCAGCAAGGTTGACCCCGGATTGATTTACTCGTCCCAGTAAGAGCAAGGGGAGGAAACAACCCCCCCGCCCTCCCCTGTCATAAATCCCCACTACCCATTAGTGGGGCGGGTTTCTTGGAGCGGGGCGGGGTGGGGAAGTTTTTTGGGACGGGTGCTGGTGGACTTGCCTTTGAGCCAAGCGCGAAACGAGGCTGGCCTCAAACACAAACCCCCGCAGAAACAGGTCCATTGAGGGAGACACCCAACACAACTTGCTATCGCCTGAGTCTGCTGGTAAAATGTAAAAGGTGACTTTCCGACTGGACCCAGCTCCCAAACCCGACCCCCGGGACCCGTTCCAGTTCGAGCAGCAGAGCCCTGCCCAGGTCATCAGCACGCCAAAGACGGTGCCGAAACAGCGGAACCCAAAGGTTCGCCCACAGAAGGCGGCGTTCAACGCGTAGAACAAGGGCCGTGCCAACGCGAAAAGGACCTCGGAAGAAGCAAAAACCAAAGTTCGACCCCTGTGATCATCGTTTTTGCACGTTCCGGAGTTCTACCCCAACGTGGCTTGCTCAGTGTTTGCGAGAGAAGATCAGGCGACCCACGACCAAGGTAATCCTTGGTTGCCACAACACTGTGTGAAACCCAAGTGTCTCAAGCCGCGTCCGGCCGCCCCTTCTTGTGTGCGAGCCGCAAAGGCGAGGCGCGGCAGCGCCAAACCCCCCAGACGCAGGTGGAAGCCGGCGAGGAGCAGCACGAAGCACAGGTACACCGAGTGCAAAATCACATAGCCCGCCGCGGGGCCCAGCCTACTTCTTCTCATCGGGAACCGGGGGGGGGGGGGGGTCTGATGCTACATCCGCCTGAACACTTCCACCACACCCCTCCCGCAAAAAAAAACATGTGGCTTGCTTCTGCTCTGTGGAAAAGGTCATGCTTCAAACAAGGCGTATCTGTTCAAGTGACCGCGGGCCGAATAACACCCGAAACAGCGAGCTTCCCACGACTCCTTTTTACCACCCCTCACTCCGACCAACCTGAAGGAGGGGGATTCCAACACTCATCAAAGTCAGCCCTGGCTGCCTTGGCACCCCCAAACCGACTTTGTCAATTTGACGGCCATGAAAAACACGTCAATGCGCCCTTGCCTGTCGATGATGGCACCGATGAGGGGGATGAAAACGATACCTCCCGCCGGCAGAAGACATGCGAACTCCCTGTTGAGGACCGTGGCCTCCTCTGGCGTCACTGAGAGCATCTGCGGGTACACTGTGGCAATGAAGAAATTGATGCACACCTGGCTGATGCGAGACGACCCCTATAGCTTTGTCTCTTGAGGTGAAGGCACCCAAAGGTGCCATGGGAATGCGCCCCCACCAAACTCCAGGGGCCCAGACCGAGCGGGTTGTTTGTAGGTCAATGGTGCTCGACTACCTTATAGGTGGAAGAGGCCTTTCACCTTCCCACCGCCAAGCAAAAATGAAATGTTATCTGACATTCCAGGTGGAAAGCAACCCGCTGATTTTCCCGCAGGCCAAAAGACCATCTCAAGGCAACCCTAAGAAAGATACAGTCCTTTGATGATTTGTTATGGGAACCCGGAATCATAAATGGTTGACTATTAGGGGGTGCCCCCTTTTTATGGGAATCAATTCCTTTCGGAGCCAACACCTCCGCAGTCATAGGACGGGCTTGGCAATCTGGAGCTGGCATGTGTTTTGTTCCCTCTTCTGGCAAGATGAACTCAAGAAAGAAACTGCTAGAATTGGCTAGGTGCAGATTGCATCTGACAAACAAATCGCCGCCAGGGCACCATGGACACGGACACAGTGTATGCCAGCAGCGCGAACTCCGCGCTCGACAAGATGCGCCAAAGCTCCTGGCGGTGAGAGATATGGACGCGTCCTTCTTTTGATGGAAAACCAAAACGTTTGTTTAGGTGATTGTTGAGGGAAACCAGTGGGAAAAAACTGGTTTGTGGAGCTTTTTGAAGGGAACCAAGTGCAAAACAAACCATCCTTGCTATTGTTTCACCCACCGATTTAGGAACAAACCCATGTACGGTTCAATGGATGTGCACGGTTTAGTAAGTGCTCCGTTCTTTGGCGATGTGTTTTTTTGGTGTGTGTTGGTCTGCATGGGGAGGACCAATCACTGGTGGCCAGCAAGGGCTGATTGGAGCACCGCTGGCATGGTTTTGAATTTGTGACCCAGCTTGTCATTTGCCGAAGTTCCCGAGTTGCGGGCCTGGCACGCTTTCTGGGGCTTTGTCACAAGCGGCACTTGCTGGGTTTCGACACATGCCTGATGTCGAAAGCGAATTGCCCAAAGGACTTGAAAATAGCAATTGCTGACTCTGGACATGCAAATCCTCTGGCACCCACGAGGGTTCATTCACTGCCGTCCCCACGAAACAAGGTAGAAGAACTCCGCATTAAAACGGCAAAGAGTGTATCTGGGCACCGCGCATACGCAGCTGAAGGATCAGCTGAAGAGCCCACAGATCCTTGTGGCGTTCTAGTTCACATTCCCTCGCCAGGGCTCCCAGAACAACCTGCCAAACAAACAAAAGCATGCACCTGGCTGCATGTTTTGTCTGGAAGGGCCCACCCCTTCACCCACTCCTTGCCAGAGACGGGCTCATTCTCGCGTGGCTCGTTCTCTGGAAGCGCCACTGGCCAGGCAGGCCAGCACAGGCTGGCAGCCACCGCGCACAGCGTGGGGACCCCGGCGTAGGTCCGGAAGATCCTGGCGGCGTTTGTTTTGGATTTCTTTGTCTTTCCTCGTTCTTTGTCGTTCTTTGTCTGCTTTCTTTTTGTCCGATTTTGTCTTCTTTCTTTGTCTTACTTTTATTTATTCTTCTTCTTTCTTCTTCTTCTTCTTCTTCTTCTTCTTCTTCTTCTTCTTCTTCTTCTTCTTCTTCTTCTTTCCTTCTTCTTCTTCTTCTTCTTTATCTTCTCCTTTGTCTGCGTTGTAAAATCTTTCTGTGTTCTCTCCCTCTTTCGCCGCTTCCTCTCAAAGCTGGCCCCGTTGCCCAAGGCCAGCGCCAGCCCCGCGAAGACGGCGCTGGAGGCGTCGAAGGCGCCCACCAGCGCCGCCACGACCAGCCCGCAGCCTCCGATCCGATCCCAGGCAGCGCGCCACAGACCCACCCCGAGCTGACCGCTTGGGCCCTTGGCTGCAAAGGTTTTAATCAAAAGGCCCCATGTACTACAACTGTCATAAGGCAAGCCTGGCGCAGTAAAAACCAAAACAAAGAAACAAGTGTTGCTCAAAGTCGGGGAACTTGGTCTCCTTTTGGCTTCCCTTTGACGGAAATAAAACTTTAAAACACCATCCAAAAAATTGCTTTTCCAGCGTTTGAGAAACCAAATATACTTGCCTCGAATCTGATCTCGATCCACCCTATATAAGCTGCCCTCAATTGGTGGGTTGGATTCGCGCAACGTTGCATACATGCATCTTTACTGTTTAATCGCAGAATCACAGTAAGTATGCAAGGCAAGTACCAGCATGACCTGGCGCATATTGCATAACGGGGAACATACGACACTAGGTTAACTGTTGCATTTGTCAGCTATTGCAAGTACATGCCAGAGTCCAATCTCGTTATGTGGGCTGTTTAGTGGGCCTCTCCATGGTTGCCCAAATTTTGAGGCTACCCTGTTGGGGGTTGGAAACCACTCATTTGACATATAGGCATGTGCATTTTCCTATGGACATCATCAAAAGAGAAAACACCAGGTTCCAAAACTCCAGAAAACGTGATCTCTTGAAGCAAAATAGAGACCCCTAGCTACGAAAGATGAACTTGCCCCCCTCTGTCTGCAAAGGTGAAAAGCGCACAAAAGAAAACCGAAGACGACACCAAACAAATTGGCCTCTACCAACCCCGGAAAAAAGGGAAACACATCGCCAGGGACAACATGGTCCTTTGTTGGTTGAAGAGGGAAAAGCAGGGATACCGCCCGAAGACCAGCAACCAAATTCAGATTGCTACTGGACAACCGGGCAGCGGGACGGAAAGAGGTTCCCGAAGCTCAAGGTGCAGTTGAAGATGCAGGGGCCGCCCACCTGAGTGCAAGCAGCTCAATTGATTGCACGCAGCTCAATGTCATCAACGACAGATCTGTGAGCCGTTTCTTGTTGACCCCTGACCTGCTTCGTTTCACAATGAAAACCAAGAGGTGTTAAATCATGTGGCTGCAATAAGAGTTGGCGAAGGGGCTGGAAAACAATGTCACCAAATATACCCTGTCACCAAGCCATTCTCGAGTCTTCCTTCTAACCTGCGCTGCAAGCCCTATGCATGTTTTCTGTAGGCCTGGGTCGGTAGGCCTAGGCAAGGGCTGCGCCTGACCTCCCGTTGGGCTGGGCAAGCCGGTGCCTGCCACCTGGAAGCAAATTAAGCCTAGCTGCTGCGAAGGTTGAAACGGGACTTCAACCTGAGCTTAGGAAGGCGATGTTCCTCCTGAACATGTGGCAACTGTGCACCAACCCCCCCCCAAAAAAAACAAACAAACGCAAAAACATGTCTCTAACTGTTTAACCCCCCCCCCCCGATCAGGTGCCATAGCCACATGTGTTGAATCTTTCCCTCCACGCGAAACTCAACGAGCGGCAAATCCTCCCATCGATTCGGCTTGACGCCCTCGATGCGCTCCGAGGCGCCGCGAGGGCCAGGAAGCCGCTTTGGTAGTTCCCGGCGCCGAAGCGCCAGCACCCTGCGGCCACCAAACCGCAGAAGAGCGCGCCGCAGCGGCGGGGGCCCCATAAGTCCAGCCTGGGCGTACGAAAAACCAAGGTAGTGTTGCCTCGGATTTATCAAACGCGAAATATTGAAACTCAACAAGAAACAATTTGCACAAAAAGCACGTTGCTCGAATTCCGGAAACCTTGGGGGCTGCAACGAATCTTCCCTTTTGCCACTTCGGGGGTCGAAGTTTTGGCGGATGCGCCGGGCGGCAGAAACCCGGAGGGCAGCGCCGCGAGGTTCAGCAGGCTGGTGGCCGTGGTGAAGAGCCCTCAGTTCCGGGAGTTACCAGGGGGCTTGCGGGTTGCTGGGATTGCCGCCAGTTTTTGTTTGGAACCCCAGAATTGGAAGCCACAAAGGATGGTTCAATCTTGGGAATTTGCTTCATCTGCTTGGGATTCCCTTCAATAAAAATGGAAAGAATTTGTTGGAGCAGCAAAAGCAAGAGTTCCGATGTCCAACCTTCAGAGAAAAAACTCATGTTGCTTAAACCATCCGGAAAAAAAGGAAAAATACAGGGACCCCTCCTTGCCTGCTTGTGTGGGCTGGCTTGTGATGATTGTCCAGTCGCCTGGCGATCGCCCTTGCTGACCTCCAAGTAACCAGTTGGACTGTGGCTGGTGCGTCAAAACAGGAACCGAAAACCACTAGGAAACCAACCGCGTTGAAGATGCGTAGACGGCATTTTCCCTGCCGGCTTTGACATCGGCTTTGACATCACCTCACCTGATTCTTCTGGATTTGGAAACCTACATGTGATTCATGTAAAAGAAGGCTTGGAAGGGAAAGCCAGTGACCCCCCATCTTTCTCCACAAATAGCAATGAAGAGTTTCATTTCAAAAAGCATAGCCTGGCATCGTAGCCCACAAGCAGCCCGTCCCCCCTCCCCCGCACATCTTGAGGCGCCAGTCAACGAAGTGATTTGGCGGTGGCACACCCCCGAGGATGGACACTCCTCCAGGCCGGAGGTTGGGAACCCTGACACCTTCAGGTTTGATCTTGGTGAACCAGCTGGAAGAACATCCCGAAATGGCACAGCTGTGTTGGGGACATCTTCCTTCCACCTGACAAAAAACCAAACTTGAGCCGGCCACGCACACTTTTCCAGCGTACTCGCTACAAGTAGCGGGCAAGTTGGAGGGGGATCATCGTTGTCATGCTCAAAACCGGCCACAAGTGCCAAAGCAACGTACACCTGGCCAAAGAGGTGTCTGTTCAAGTCGTCCTCCACAAAAACAAAAACAATAATATACACATACGCACCTAATGTTCAAGCCCCCACGCCCCGGCCCGAAACAGTTTGTGTCCCGTTCAAATATGTAATACATATATGTGCATATATATGTGTGTACGGTTGCGTGCATATGTGTAAAGAATATATCCATTTGTAGACACATATGGAGATTTGTGTATATATTTCTATCTAAAGATGTGTATATATATATATAATATGTATGTAGACATATCTCTCCCCAAGAATCTCCTCGTGGAAGGCCCCCAGCTCCAGCAGTTCCGGCACCAGCGCGCTGAACCCGAAGGCGAGGCCCGCGCAGCTGACGCAGCACCCGATGGCCGAGCCCACCACTGCCAGGCGCAGACCAAGCGACGGAGGGTCCGACAGATCCTCCAGCTTCCGGTAGCCCGCCATGGGATTTCGCACCAAATCGCGCACTGAATGGGGGGGGTTCTTGATTTGGGTCGGAGGTTGGGTGTGGGGTGTGGGGTGTGGAGTGGGGGGTGCTGTGAGAGACTCAGGGAGTGCAAAGAAGGCTTTCGGAAGGCTTGGTTACCTCCACACAAGCGTTTGCTCCATGTTGACCTGCAGGAGTCAGCAGGGAGGACATTGGAAAAAAGACCGTGACCGGCTTCAGTGCCGATTTTGTAGGAGGCAGGGTTTCCACCTCCTGTCGTAACCAAAGCCAGAGAGTCCTGGTCCTTCTTCCACCTTGCTCGGTTTGGTTGAATCGAATGAAATATCTGAGGACGGTGAGTATTGACTATTGCTCAGTTGTATAATTTTGACTGCCAAAAGTCCATCTAAGCTTGGGCGCATTGGGCCTGCGCAACGTATGCCTCCCCATGGGCAACTAAGATGAATAAGCGCAAAGAAATCTCCGGGCCCCCCGCATCGCAACCAAGAGAAACAAAAACACACGCGCTCCAAAAGCCCAACACCCAAACACGACCACAAAAGTTTCTCCCCCCCTCCCCGGGGTTTCATTTCGGGCACCCCGAAACGGGGCGCCAAACGCGGCGTCGTGTTCCAATGCGCGGCTCGACCTTGCGCGCCCCTCGCGGCTCGACCGCCTCCATCTGCTGGAGCTGCGACTTCAGCGCCAGCAGCTCCTGACTCTCCTTGGGCTTCAGCCGTGCCTCGGGGCTTCGGGGCTTCAGCTCGGAGCCAGGGCTTGGGGAGGCAGCCATGTGGCTGTGGGTCCAAAATTAGACCACCAGGAATTGGACCGCAGGGTATATTGGGTACATATGTTTGACCCACGGTCATTTGGGCAATGGCCTGGGTCTTTCCAGCCTTTCCGCAATTTAGGGGCAAAAATAGCACGGAAGTGGGAAACAACCTCCCCAAAGCAAAGGGTGCTCAAAAGATCTGGCGGCTTTTGCCACTGTTGTATACAGTCGTAACTTATATACTTGGCAGGCACACCCTGTGTCGTCCCACAGATGCGCTATAGATTTGCATGTTTCTCAAGATCCGCCAAGGACCAGCTACGCTCTCAAAACTCCGGCCTCCTGCATGCCTGCCATCTCAGAGGTCAGGTGTTGCACCTGCAAACGCATGCAGAACCTAGCGATGTTTGGGCTGCCTTTCTTTTGGGGTTGCTTCGATGTTCGACATCAAGTTGTTGAGTTAGCAAGCTTTCATTATGTTTTCGCCGATCTCCTCATTCAAATCAGGCGCCCAATGGGTCAAAAGTCAAAACTGTTTCTGGCCAGTCAACTTGGCAGCTCAGGCCGTGAAGGCGGAACTATGGCTGGTGAAGCCAGCAAACAAGAGAGGGCAATGGCCCCAATCCAATCATTTCCTAAGGGGCGGGGCGTGCCCGTGAAGAACGAGATTTGAGGTTGGCACCTCCCATATAAAGTGACAAAGCCAAAAGATGCGAATCCCATCCATTTTCCATTTTGGTATCACAGAAGTTGCTGCTTTCTGCCCTTGAACAGAAAATGATGCTTCATATAGCACCCCAAAAAATAAGATAGTTTTGGAGGAACCCCCCCCAAAAAAAAAAAAACGCCAAACCTTCCTCTAGCGGAGCCTTGTTCTCCGCCTCGGACAAGCGCCGCCTCGTAGCCTTGAGCTCTTGCGATGCGGCGCCCTCGCCTCAGCGCCGCATCTCAAGAGTGACGCGCTGAGACCCCAGAGTCCTCTGAGAGGGGATTGCCTGTTTGACATTGTATTAGATTACCTATCAATGTCATACCCATATTGGCATTACCCAATTTTGATTGTATCTTATTCTGACATTACCCATATTTGTTCCTCTATCCTTTCTAGTAGTACTATTAGCTCGTAGTTATTAAAGGTAGTTTGCCAACACTTCAACTATAGTGATTTGGGATTGGGTCCAAACCCAGAATAGCCTTTTTCGAGTACCCCCCCCCCCCTGTTGTTTGGGTCATTCTTGAAGTGACTTTGCGGTGTAGGGGGGGGCACCCGGGTTTTTTGACTCATAGCCATGTGGTCCTCTGGAGTCCTCAGCGAAAAGATGTAGGAGTCAAGTTGGGAACTCGGGTTCTTGACATTTTGTTGCCGCCTGAAGAAAGGGATCCCAAACTCGTTTTGCTGCGATAAAACTGGCAGTGAACAACAGAAAAAAGCAAGCAACATTGAAGGAAGGGGAATACAGGGAACTCAAAAGTTCATCCCCAGGTTGTCTTTTTGTAACCCACTGTGGAGGGGATTCCCCGCTTGTAGGGGACATCCACCCTAATAATCAATCTGCCAGGCCGATTATCCGATTCTTCAGGGGTAAACACTGGTACGCGTAGTAGGCCTGGAGACATTGCCAGAAAACTACTGCGCAAGCACTCGGTGAACTCTTGGTCCAAACGCTACAAAACACTGGTTGCTTTATGGTTGTTGCTGGTCGAAGCGTGGCTCATGGTTTTTAGTCCCACCCCATCGCCAGAAGTGCCATGGTAACTTTTGTGGACCGTGGCCTTGGCTCTAAGGCCGAGTGACGCTCATCCAGGGATCGCCGCAACATGTCGCAGCGGTCCTGGGTGCACGCGAGAGGCCCCTGGAACCCATTCGCATACGTCGCAATGACATGCCGAACCCCCCCCAAAAAAAAAAAAAGCATTACATCGAACTTGGGAGGTGGCAACATAGGGGGAACTGTTTTGGAGCAGCGTCAGCGTTTGTTGTGTTCTCATGCCGCACCACAGCCGGTGCGGAAACAACTGCATTCACCTCATCGCCCTCCCGCGTCCCGTGCCTATTGGCTCTCACCCCTGCAAATCAACATGGATCCCTAAACCGGGGTCCCAAATGGAGTTGTTCCGCTTCAACTAATGGCTTAGAAAAGACACTGCAAACAATATGTACATATGTGTGCAAATATCTATATGCATTTCCAGATGCTTGTATGTGACTGCGTGTGCGTCTGTCCTCTAAAGAATCCAAGATAATGGGTGTTCCTGTTGATTCCCTTTAAAACCACCAACCAAGGGCTACGCTCAAAAACACGACAAATAAACGCATATATTCATGTGCTTGAAAAACAAAGACGGGACATATATATATATATATATATTGTGTTTTTTGAGGAGGACAAAAAAAAACAGACGGAAAAAAAAGAAGAAAGAAGAAGAAGAACAAAAACGATGCCAACACCCCCCTCCCCCCCCCTCCCCGTCCTGCCACTCGCTGCTGCGGCGCCGCTCCGCCTCGAGATCCTGAGCGTGAGCTTCGGAGACTTTGGCCAGGAGAAGGTCCAGGATCTCAGCAAAGGATGAGGGAATTGACCCCGGCTTTTTAACCATCCCTTGTGGCTCACTAAGAAAAAGAATGAAACATAAGCCATGTCCCACACTTAGTTGCAAGAAACGGTTCATCATGAGAAGGGAAAGAAACTACTATCAAACGCAAACTGAGAGCGCCCAGGGCGCATGAGCACCAGGCGTTTTTGCCACATGCAAATTCTTTTGGGGCGCGCCTTTTGTTGAGGCTCAGTGCCCTTTTTGGGGTTGGCTTGAAGGGAAACAAAGGACAGCCACCCATTTTGGTGGTGCGTGCTAGCACCAGCAGCAAGCTTCAAAAGCCGGGATGTTCTGCCCAGGTCTGCAAGCAGTTTGTGACCCAGCGATCACAGAGCGAGCCTGTGAACCCGCTTGGGGACCATACAAAAAGAATGCAACACCAACACCATGGTTCCAACACACGGAAAGAGCCCAAACGGCGCGGGAGCACCAAAACTGCCGTGTCCTCACTGGTCTCGGAGCGAATGCTGTGCATGTTCTGCAAGGACTCCTGCGGGGCGTTCAACGCGCGCACGAGCGGGGCCGTGAGCTGAAAAGAACATATTTTGCTTATTCAAAAAAACGGACTCCGCATTAGCTAGCAGAAAACAACGTCCAACTCAAAAGGCGCTTTCTTGGGCTTGTTGTCATGTGGGCAAAGGGTTGCAGCACGGTTGCAGTGGAAGGGTGCTGCCACTCATCAATCAGGCAATACATCTTGATCGGCCATGTGCACTATTCGCCAACCTGTAAAGTTGTAAGTTAACTGGAAGGGAAAGCTTAAACTTGCTGGGCCTTGGCTAATGATGAATAAACCAGTCAACAAAAGTTTGACGCGAGCGCTGATTGAGAGTTGGCCAGGTGGGGAAACGACGCGTGTTTTGGGCTGTGGGATGTTGAGTAGGGGGGACCCCTCCGAAACGACACGCCACTATCCCACCACACTAGGAAGGAAAGCAAAGGCTGCCCCCCACAACCCAGGAAAGGTTCCGAGAGCCTTCTTAGCGCGGGCTCCCCTATGATTGGCCCTACGCACGCCCCTAATTCGACCAGCATCCGGCCAGGATCCCAAACGCGGCCGTGTGCCACTGGGGTGGGGACTTGATTTGTCTTCTTGCTTTTTTTGCTTTTTTCCTTCTTTTTTTTTTTTTTTTGGTGGGGGGGGATTAAAGCGAATCAAACATGAAGCGAATCGTTCTGCATAGCCACTTGCAAACAAAGGATGCGTCAAAATGTGCGAACCCGCCGATCTTGGTCTTTTGCCTCCACCGCCGCTTCTCGATTGAAAGCTGGCCGCCATTAAATGTCATAGCCACAAAGGTTCTATTGAATCTATTGGATTGCGCGAACCAACCCTGGGGTGTAAGTCTAAGTCCTTCTAGGGGTGCAACCCCCAAAATAGCGCCCTGTGCCAAAAGCAACTCGCGCTTTTCTCCTGCAGCTCGCGGTTGGATCTGCCCAGCTGCTTGGTGAGCTTTTCAACCTGCGGACAATCAGCCGTTGGTTGGGTGCCATAGCCAAGAGGGTTCGTATCTTACGAGAGGATTCCTCTACACAGTAGGATGGAGGGGCAGCGGGATTCTCCCAAAACTGGGCCATACCACACAAATCATGGGGAGTTGCCTCTGCAATGATGCTTGGGTT